ACATTAAACAAGATGGACTTAACTGATATTTATAGGACATTCCATCCAAAAACAAAAGAATACACTTTCTTCTCAAGTGCTCATGGAACATTCTCCAGGACAGATCATATCCTGGGTCACAGATCAAGCCTTGGTAAATTTAAGAAAACTGAACTCGTATCAAGTATCTTTTCTGAAAACAGTGCTGTGAGACTAGATACCAATTACCGGAAAAAATCTGAAAAAATACAAACACATAGGCCTCCCTGGTGGCACAGTGGTTGAGAGTCCACCTGCCGATGAAGGGGACACGGGTTCGTGCCCCGGTCCAGGAAGATCCCACATGCAGCGGAGTGGCTGGGTCCGTGAGCCATGGCCGCTGAGCCTGCGCGTCCGGAGCCTGTGCTCCACAACGGGAGAGGCCACAACAGCGAGAGGCCCACATACCGCAAAAAAAAAAAAAATTAATTAATTTTAAGAAAGATATCAGGGGCTTCCCTGGTGGCACAGTGGTTAAGAATCCGCCTGCCAATGCAGGGGACATGGGTTCGAGCCCTAGTCCAGGAAGATCCCACATGCCATGGAGCAACTAAGCCCGTGTGCCGCAACTACTGAGCCTGCGCTCCAGAGCCCTCGAGCCACAACTACTGAGCCCACGTGCCACAACTACTGAAGCCCACGCGCCTACAGCCCATGCTCCACAACAAGAGAAGCCACCGCAATGAGAAGCCTGCGCACAGCAACAAAGAGTAGCCCCCACTCACCGCAACTAGAGAAAGCCCACGCACAGCAACGAAGACCCAACGCAGACAAAGATAAATTAATTAAATAAATAAATTTTCAAAAAATAAATAGAGACCAAAACAATAAAAGTAAAAAATACTGCTAAGAAGAAATTTTAGACACCTGAATAAAAAGAAAGTCTGTATCATGTATTGGATGACTCAACATTGTACAGAAGTCCATATTCCCCCAAATTGATCTATAAATTCATAGAGTCCCAATCAAAGTACCAGGAAGCTTTTCTGTGGAAATTGAACAAATTTGTAAGATTTCCACCACCAGACTTCAAGACGTGCTGTAGAACAATGGTAATTAAGATAGCGTTGTAGTGGTGCAAGCAGACAGATGGCCCAACAGCACAGAGCACGGAGACCAGAGCTGTGCAGCTCACATAGGCAGCTACATCCTCAGTTAACTTATGTCAAAAGCGCCACTGCAACCAGGGAAGCAGGGATGGTCTTTTCAGAGAGGTGAAGGAGCAACTGGACACCCACGTGGAAAATATGAATCTTGACCCTCCACCAACGCCATTCACAAAAGCTAACTGGAGGTAGATAACAGATCTCTAAAATTCTTGAAAAAAGATTATGATCCTAGGGTAGCCAAAATACCTTATATAACATTAAAAAGTACTAACCATTAAAGATTGATACATTAAACTTCATTAAAATAAAAAATTATCATTAAGTGAGTAAACAAGCCACGGACGGAGAGATGTACACATTACATATAACTGACAGAGGACCCAACCAAAATTTATAAAGAAATTCTATAGCTAAAGAAAAGACAGACACCCCAATTTAAATGAGCAAAAGACCCAAACAGGCGTTTTACAAAAGAAAATATCTGAATGGCCAATAAGCATATAAAAATATGTTCAACATCACTAGTCATAAGGGAAGTACAAATTAAAACCACACTGGAATATGATTTACAACCATCAAAAATGGCTAAAAACGATTAAGACTGACAATGTCAAGTGTTGGTGTGAGTCTGGAAGAACTGGATTGCTCCTAGGTTGCTTTGGGGAGTGGAAGTTGGTTCAACCACCTTAGAAAACCATTAGTAGTATCTACTAAACTTAAGCATAGCTTATCCCATGGTCCAACAATTACACTGTTATGTGTATACCCAAGAGCTACACAAATGGATCCTGAATTTCAAATAAAAATAAACATGAAGAACATGAAGAACAGCTAGGAAAACGGAAAAGGAGCAATGATGGGGCAGCAGGAGGGGTAGGCTATTAAGCCTCTATTATAAAATGTGGTGTTGGCGCATGAATAGACAAACGAGTGGAAAAGGAACAGAAACCTACCAGACCTTGGTTTCTATGACCATTTTTCAGTTAAAAAAAAAAAACAAAAAAAAAACCGGGGGACTTCCCTGGTGGTGCAGTGGTAAAGAATCCACCTTCCAATGCAGGGGACATGGGTTCGATCCCTGGTTGGGGAACTAAGATCCCACATGCCACGGGGCAGCTAAACCCACGCGCCACAACTACTGAGCCTGTGAGCGACAACTATTGAGGCTGTGTGCCACAACTAGAGAGAGAAAACCCACCGCCACAACAAGAGAGAAGTCCGTGCACCACAAGGAAGAGCCCACACGCCACAACGACAGATCCTGCACGCCTCAGTGAAGATCCCGCGTGACGCAACTAAGACCTGACATGGCCAAAACTAAATTAAATAAATAAATATTTTTATTAAAAAAAGGGTCTAAAGAAACACGACATCTAAATGAAGACGGCTTCCTGGATGGATCCTGAAACAGCAAAAAGATCTCACGTAAAAATTAAGGAAGTCTGAATAAACTATGGACTCTACTTAATAATAATATATCAATACCATCCCATTAATTGTGACAAATATGCCACAAGGTGAGATGTTAATAACAGGGAAGCTATGTGCAATTCGGGGAAGGGGATATTATGAGAAATCTGTACTATTTGCTCAATTTTTCTGTAAATCTAAAACTGTTCTAAAAATGAAGTCTACTAGTAGAAAAGAACAGAAAGTTCAAAATTAACTCAAGAACATATGGAAATTCTGTATATGATAAAAGTGACTGAACTTTTAAAATAAATGGAGTTGGAACAAATGGTAGCTTTTTGGAGAGAGATAAAATTGGATTCAAACCTCAAAAGAAACCCCAAAATAAGTTCTGAATGGCTCAGGGATCTAAATGTAAAAATATGAAACTATATGACTACTAAAAGAAAAACATGGATAAATTCTTCTTCTATGAACCTGGTATGGGAAAAGGTTTTCTAATTATGATTCCAAGATTAAAAGTAATAAAAGAAACAATATATAAATTTAACTACCAAAATTTTTAAACCTAAGACTTTAGTACTGCAAACAACAAAACATCTTAAAAGTCAGAAGAAAAATGAAAAACTATGGGAAAGTATTTGTAGTAATATAAAGGATTAATCTCTCTAAAATATAGAGAGTTAAAAATAAAGACAAAGAGAACTTCCCTGGTGGCGCAGTGGTTAAGAATCCGCCTGCCAATGCAGGGGACATGGGTTCGAGCCCTGGTCCAGGAAGATCCCACATGCCGCGGAGCAACTGAGCACGTGTGCCACAACTACTGAGCATGCGCCCTACAGCCCGCAAGCCACAACTACTGAGCCCGTGAGCCACAACTACTGAAGCCCGCGCGCCTAGAGCCCGTGCTCCACAAGAGAAGCCACCGCAATGAGACGCCTGCACACCGCAACGAAGACCCAATGCAGCCAAAAATAAATAATTTTTTAAAAAAAATACTTAGGCACAAGTTGATAATAAGTATGCTTTCTACCAAACGAAGAGGTGGATTATTCATTAATAATTAAAGCATCACGTACTATACTGAAACCTGTGGACAAATGCCAATAGAGATTATCATTTTGTTATTCTGCTCTAATGAAGAGATTTGATAACATTTGGTAACATTAACAATTTGATAAATTCATAAGATATCTGGTTATTTATCACCAACGTATCTCAGCAGACAGTGGCGGAAGGCTTCCCAAGTAGCAGAACCCCTAGAGACACTGCTTAAGAGGCAAACGTTTGGGCTGCTCCTGAGAAATGCCGAATCAGAGTCTCTGGGGGGGAGGGCTGGGCATTTTTCTGTCCACATGCACCCCAGAAACCGTCTTCACACAACACAGCTTGAGAACCACTGTTTAATGATAAACAAGAAGTAAACCCTGCCGCCCCTACTCCCTCATGCTCTTGTGTCATCCCAACCAGAGACACTGTGATAAAGTATGTGTATTTGGACATCAGTTACTGGAAAGAAACCAGATGGAAAAGTACAAGTGGAAAGTCATGATCTCAACCCTAAAGTCAGAGGACTAGCTCGGCTGCCATACGGTGAGAAGTTAGCTAAATTGGTAATATTTCTAACTCTCTTATGAAAATATTTTGACGAGAAGACACGTACCCACATGGTACTAAGAACAACGCATATTCCTAAGTTTCAGCGCTTTCACCTGTGGATTAATCTAGATTCGGCACAGAATGACTTTAAGCACTGCTAGTCCTTCTAGGGTCTGTCATTATCTCCCAGAGTTCTCCACTCTTTCCTCGTGGCACTTACTGTGTTCTCGTTACTTGTGTCTTACAGTGGGGTCTTTGTTGTTGGACCCACAAGGTCAGATTATCAGCTGTTTTAAAGCAGAGTCATGTGTATTTTGATCTGGATCCAAAGCCAGCAGACTGTTTCGCACACAACAGATCACAAGTATCTGCAGAGTGAACAAAATGAGTGCGTCGAACCTTGAAACGTTTTATTGGAGTTTAGCCATAAAGTTGTCATTTTTCCTCTGACTACATGATTTTAAATGTCTTCACGGTATTACAGAGAAGGACATGCAGCACCCTGGTGAGAGCATGGGCTTTGGAGTCAGCAAGTCATGAGGTTTAACTGCACTTCTATTGCTTTGGTGATGGGACCCATAGACAAGTCGTTAACAACTCTTTCTCTGTTCCTTCAACCTCATGAGCTTTTCTAAACCAAAAGACTATAAATGACAATTAGACAAATAGGAATATCTCCTAATTCAGAAGGTAGCAAAAATACAGGCACTGGAAAGAAGCACAGAATTCTGCTGGTTACGAGGCCCCTAGCAAGGTGCCCATCTCATGTGTAGCTGTTCTCTTTCAAGATGGCTTTTCATGGTAAACTGCAGTCCAACTAGCTCATAATTTTAGAAACCCCACAGCTAAGCAACAAGTACTCACAGAGTGTTCAAATTCTTGAGTTTCTTGAAGGTGTTTCTGAGAATTTCTCTGATTTTGTTAAACCTCAAGTCTCTGGGAACATAAAAAAATGGAGAAAGATTAGAATATGTTGATATCAGTTCTGTCGTTATCTCCAGAAGCTTGAGAGCTAATTCTCCTTTTATGACCAATCATATAGCACCAATGGACTGAACACAGTTAAGGCAGAATTAGACACATCCTGCACTAACCATTAGCAGGTGCACTGTTCACAGACGATTACACACATCGGGTGCCATATATGCGTCCAGAGAAGTGCAGCTGGTTACAGGGCCAGTTACCCCCCAGAGTCAAAGGCAACTACACCACTTGCTTTAGGTTGTGGCTACTTGACACCAAAATAAATTCTATTTATAGCAACATGCCAACCGAGGACATTTAGTTTGGAAAATAATATTGACATGTCAGATGTCACCTGTCAACACCAACATAATACTATTGCTTGAGTTTAGGCAAAGTCATGAATTAGTTAATTTTTCTCCATGGCCCAGGAATACAACAGCTTCCTAAGGAAGTACTAAGCAAGTCAACAATGAGTCTGCGAGAGATGTTTTCTCACAACCAACATTCTCTTTCATTGAAATTATTATCTCATTAAATTATTGAGTGCCAATGGCATGTCACGTATCATGAGAAGTAATCGGGACACGAAGGTGAACAAGACACCGTCCCTGCCCCTGGGCACACAGTTCAGCTGAAGGCGACAGATCGTCGTAGCAGCAGTATGTAAAGCTTCAGTGGTACAACAGAGGGACAAACAAAGTGCTCTGCACAGAGAGCGTCCGGCTCTCCATTTCTGATGTCACCAGTGAGGAACCCTTGTCCCGACCCTAGGAAGCTTACCTGCATTGCAGCAGCTTCAGGGACCAGCCAGCTGAGGACTATGGTGACCTTTATCCCCCCACCTCCACCCGTCTTTACCGGGATACAAAGCTCACTTCTAATGACTCGACCACAGTAGTAACACAACAGGTGGAAGGAAGGAAAGACCTCTTCGAAGAAGGATTTTACTCAACCTATTTTTTCCATAGTATCTACAACCTATTTGTACAGAGTTGCATGACTGCTGCTGTCATGTTTCAATTGAGGGTACAGAGTCATGACTCGTGTCAAAGAATTCTCCATCTGCCATTTACATACGTAATTCTGACATCGTTATAACTGCCAATGTCATTAAAAATTCTAATAATATATTTAGCAATATTATCTTCTATTAAAAAAGTATTCTTCCTTTAAATGGTATGTGAGGTTTAGATGTAAATATATTTGTATAAAATGGCCCAGATATTTCTAGAAATACTACCTGCTCGGAAGGATTATAAACTTTGAAATGTTCCTACATACAATACAGTGATCAAAAACCACTTGTTGGGACTTCCCTGGTGGTGCAGTGGTTAAGAATCCACCTACCCATTCAGGGGACACGGGTTCATGCCCTGGTCCGGGAAGATCCCACATGCCGCGGAGCAACTAAGCCCACGCGCCACAACTACTGAGCCTGCGCTCTACAGCCCGCAAGCCACAACTACCGAGCCCATGTGCCACAACTACCGAAGCCCACGCGCCTAGAGCCCGTGCTCCACAACAAGAGAAGCCACCGCAATGAGAAGCCCACGCACCGCAACGAAGAGTAGCTCCCGCTCACCACAACTAGAGAAAGCCTGTGCACAGCAATGAAGACCCAACACAGCCAAAAATAAACTAATTAATAAAAATAAAAAGAACATTCGTTGACAAATGATGGATAGGACAAATGCATAGATAGAGGGATATGGGCTCTTCCAAGAAGAAAATAAACATTAATTAAAATAAATATTATTAAAAATAAATAATACAGTAGTTTACACACTGAAGTAACTCAGAAATTGTATAATAAACAAATCAATGAATGAATGAATAATAATGAATGAATATATTAAAATACTAACCTACCTTATCCCTCAGGTTAACCAAGAAACAAGATCTGGAAGAAATCTTATCAACCATATATTTCAAACCAGATTTAAGAATAAGGAAACACAGTCTAGAAAAGTTCACAAAATTAACTTGCCCTACAAAGGGGACTATATTTCAGATCTCCTGATTTGGATTAAAGTGATTTTTCCATTGGGGCACATTACTGTTTGCTTCTAGTAATTAAAATGAAAAAAAAAGTTGTTCTGTTATGACTCATTTTCAGAGAAATGTTTTTTAATGAGCAAAACAATACTGTATAATTCATTGCAGTTCCTAGTCAGCAGTTCGACTGTATGACTGGAATGACGGAATGATTATAATTGCTCACTTAGGTTTTGGAAACATTTCAAGCTTCTTTGCCAATTTGTAATTGATGGCACCATTTAATCTCTTGATCAGGAGATGGTTGGTCAGACTGTTACCCCCGATGGCAGGTAACATCGGGCTTTCAGATGAACTACAGATTGGCAGGAATTTATCACATACGTGGGCACACCATAGTCACTGCATACACGCTCATAACGTTAGACTCCTGATTTAATTAACCAAAGATTATAAAATAACTATCAAAAGCAAGGTCGCCATACTGACAGAAGTAAAGCTACCCTAGCTTCCCTGAACCTCAGAAACCAAAAGAGAGACATGGTAATCTAAGGAGTGGCATTTCTAAACCGTTTACAAAATGGTGCTTTTCACACACACACACACACACACACACACACACACACACCTGTCCATGAACGCCGTAAGAACACAGAATACGTTACATCCTCCCACAGCTTCTCTGATCCAACAAATGCACTGGTGAACAATGAACATTATGATTTATTCATCATTTCTAAATTGCCCACTGCTGATAAAGTACGATGCAGTAGAAAAAGCATCGGGTTTTGGATTAAGGTCTACTGTTAACTAGCTGAGTGGCACTGGCGATCTCCTTAACCTCTGAACTGAATGAGGTGTCTTCACCGGGAGAAAGGTGAGTTCTACCTAGCTCTGTGCTAGGTGCCACTCCTGCCAACCCTAATAATGAGGTGTCAGCTGCCATCAGTCTGTATTAGCATGAAAATTATCATCAGTCTGTCGGTTCAGTTATACAGTACCTGAAATCCATATGCCCCACATAAAAATCTCGTAAAGTGTCCTTCTCAGGAGTTAGAAGTTGCAAGAAAACCTATGACGTTTTCTCCTTCTGTAGCATTCCAGAAATGGCAGCCACAGAGACCCTTACACCTTTTCACTTTTTACCAAATCCTACTTGGAAACAAAGGTCTGAGTTATCTCCCAAAGTACAGAAGAATTAGATATTGTATCATTTTCCAAATCATGTGACTACATCTTATGTGCTAATTTTTGTCTCTATTTTACACAGATGGTAAACGCTGAGGAAAAGTGTAAACCAGTGCAAAGTCTTCCTTCAGTAGCCTCGCTGCCCGGTCACTCCAGGCTGTGGCCGCACAACTGGGACCCGAGCCCAGCTCCCGCTGGCTCTCCTGGACGTTGAGTCCACTCCTGGAGCTGACAGCACAGCACTGCTCGCTCCCCCTCGTGGGGTTCTGTTAACTAAAAATAAATGATTACGTGTAAAGCTAGTGTTGGCCAGGATTTGTCAGTGAAAGAGCTAATGGACTCTTACATTGCACTATTAGACTACAGAAGAACATTCATCAATTATAGGAAAACACACTCCTAACTTGCGCTGAAATGCTCAGTTGTCAACCAAAGTATTGCGTTCGGTTGTAGGTAAAAGGTACAAGCAAACAAGATTAAATTCAGGAGAAAGCAATTTCGATGGTGAAAGGCAGAGAAACTGTTAGAGGGGAAACAACTGAAAAAAAAAAACTGAGGGGTTTTTTAACTTTGAAAAGACACAAAGGAGACCTGAACACCCTCTTCAAATATTTGAAAGAAATTCCGAGTTTTTACATGTATGTTTATGTGAACTGAGTGACCCACAAACTCAGGGAATGGTAAATAAATTATGGCACATCCCAATTTTGGACTATTTGAAACCATACTTTTGAAGACTATTTGATGACGTGGAGAAATGTTTCCCACGTAAGATGTAGTTCTGAAAATAATGTGAGGGGCCAGAGTTCCATTGCAATTTCACACCTGAGTGTGTTTACAAGCACACATGGGGAAACCTGTGAAAAAAGATACCACATGCTAACAGTGACTGTGTCTGCAGGGTACAGTGTAGGGGAATTTCATTTTATTTTTCATTCTTTTTTATGTTTTCCAAAGTTTCTAAAATGAACAAATACTTCTTTTCTGAATGTGAACAATATTATTATAATAAAAATTTGCTTACGGCTCTCCTCCCAAAAGACAGCAACAAAGACCAGCAGCCGTAGGGAGGGAGACAGATTTTGGCTTTAACGAAACGTTCTCAGTTTCTAAGTCAGGTTTGTCCAGCGAGATGAACAGCCCTGGGAAACAATCAGTGCTCAGGACCTCAGACATTTCGACAAAGGCTAGAAGGACAACCCAACTAGTACCTCATAAAGAAGAATCAAGCAGAAGGTGTCTTCAACTTTTACAATCCTTTTAATGCAGAGAATCTATGATCCCTTAAATGTGAAAACCCAAGAGTCACAAAGCCGGCCTGTGTGAACAGTCTGGTTAAACCCAGAGCTGATGTACAGAAAGACCTTAGCCCTCCAGCGACTCAGACTTAGGAGAAGTTTAGGCTTTTCTAGGTTTCTAGATGTGGGTATAACTTGTTCAATATTTAATTAGGAAATGCCAACAGATCACAGATGCTAAATAATTGTCTTTTTAAAAATCTCTGAGGCATAAATAAGAAGAAGGTATATTTAAATATACTAGTTAAAACAATTGACCCAAAACTTGAAGCCGCACTAAATTCCATGACCAATTTATTAGTCCAGTATTTTCAACCATTAAATTTCAAAAATGCCTTTTCATCTCTTTGAAGTTTATGAAATATATTCAGTGTCTCTGAATTAACGTACATTTTTCTCCCGTTTTCTACGTATAAGGAGCAGAATCCAAGTCATTGCCTGTTTTTCTCTACGGCTACTGAGAAGGCCCTTGATTCTGGATCCTGAAAA